AATGCCATTCGAAACAATGGATCGTAAATTTAATATCAATATGAATTTTCTTCCATATTATCAATTGGTTCATTTAGACCAGTATGGACCCCGTTAGAGCACGCAACACATAACAAAATTATAGTTATAACAAATTATAAATATTTGTGTCACATACAGCTTGCATAAATCCGTTTTCACTATAAATAGTTTTTAGTTTAATTTGATAAATTGATGACACTGTCGCATATGATCGAGTGCTGCCTAATACAAACACACTCCCTCGAGCACGTTTTAGGGTTGTCATTGTAATGTAAACTGTTTCGAGTAAGTACCTATCTATAAATAAGGAGAGTTCCTGTTTGTATATTGTTATCAAGTAGTTTATTAAAATGGTGTTTTCTTAGTCTGCTATTATTTAGCCTAAGGCCTCCGCTGAAAATCAGCGCTGTAGTTTCGGCTACAGCAATATTTTATATTTTGCATATTAATTTCTGGTTTACTATGTTGGTGGGACTACATATGCTGCCAATTTAATATAACGTATGAATCAACAATATTTGCTAAATAATGTATACTATTTTTGTTTACTGGAGGAATATTGCATGTTTAATTTATTTTAATTGATATAAAAAAAATTTAATACATTTAAACACTGATTTTAATAATGACGCCACGGAACGTTCGAGAAGAAGTACAAAATGTATATAAAATAACATCGATGTTCTGTGCCTGACCTTCCAAATTTGAATTTTTATAATTTTATTTTTAAATATATTAAAGGGCTATTTGCGATCGCAAACACTATTAGTATTGTAATAAGCTTCTTTCCCTAAATGCTTGCTCGTGTCTATGAAGAGTTCCTCTACATTTCAAATGGTAGTTATAAGTACCTACGTATGCCAAATTTGGAATGGAGAAAAATATAGCTATAATATCTATGGTTTTTCTCATAATCTTGGTATTTCGTTAACTATTTTGACGGCCTTGGTGTTCTACTGATTTAGTACACCGCTTTAAGTTTGATGATCACTGGTTCTATTCCTCACACGATACAAATAATTTCTATTCATGAGTGTGATTGTTTGTATCGGTCTTGATGTTTTCTATTTGCATTAAGTATGTATGTATTTAAATTTTTCTATTAGTATCTTGTATCTATTACACAAAACCTGTTTTGCTTCTAACTAGGTGGCGCTATATAAATTGTCCTAAGTTATTATTATATATCAATCTAGGAACTAATCTGTATAGAAGTCTATATTGGTATAACTGTATGCATTGAAACAAAACAAAGCAAAGAGCGAGCAGCGAAACAATCGCCCGCTCCAATAAGCTGAAAGCGACCGGAGGCGCCGACCGTAAGCCGATTTAGACTAGACTATGCCCTTAATGACCGTCCGATTTAGTGATTACATTTTAATCTCTAATTCGATATTACAGTTCTGCAATAATAATATCGAATAAGAAGAGTCATAGCGTATGTGAGTCATAAGTTAATATGTTCAATACATGTAGATATCTAATGCAATGTTCGGAATTCGAATATAATTAATTTAAATTATAAGTTGAACATTATTAAGGTTATATTGTCAAAGACTTCGAGTGTCAGAAGACGTGTGTATGGTATACATGGTAGTGTTGTAATGTAATTAAAAAAATATTTAGCATTCTGCACTCCTTTTATATCTAAGTGTGCGAAATATATTCTTCCGTCCGCGAAATTTTCGTAAGAAGGTATATAGATAAAGTTATTGGCTTCACTTATTAATAAAATGATAAAAATTAATCTCTATTTCCCTTGGTCACATAATCACGCATAACGGCTGGGCCGATTTCGCTTATATTCTTTGTTTGGTATGTTTGCCTTTGTTAGGAAAAGATTCTTACGAACGAATAAATAAATAAAATTGAGCGGAACGTTAGAAAAGTTAATGTGAATGTTACGTTTCTTTAATTTTTTTTATCAGAGGATTTTTATGTTTACTTTTTTCGCGTAATTAAATATTAAAACGTATTTTTTTAATGTTTATGAATTTAAATTAAGAGACAAGCTTAAGTAATTTTTTACATATACCTATTCTACGATTTATTTTCAAATTCCGGTAGTAGTTTAAGACATGTGTTAGTAATCGGAACAGATATTCATTTATAATATATAAACCACACTATTCGCTCTTACTCAGTGTTGGTTTAATTATATATCTACTTATAATTTAAATATTATTATAATAATATAAAATTAATATATTCTTTCGTAAATACCAGAATTTAATAATCGCCAATTGACTTTTAAAGCAACAACATAGGTAGCGGCATTAAGTAATTATTGGACTGTAACGATGGCAACCCTGTTCTTTGAAGGGCTTAAGGGGAGGGCTCTCAAGCCGCGTTAATTATCGGTGTTTACGTCACTCATTAGAGGAGCTTCGCCGCCTCTATTTACAACACAATCTATTCACTAAATAACATTGGGTAAATAACGTTCCTATTATATTGAGAAACCCAGTGAAAATGTATAAAGACACATATATGTGCACCAACAATATGTTATTATTCGATTGGTAAACAATTAGGTATATACATATTACAAAAAAAAAATCAAGTTCACAAAGGTTTGTTTACAAAGGTGACAATATAATATTATATCCTTTTAGATCAAAACTGACCATTAAAATGAGTCGGCATTAAGCGATAATATCATAAAGATGTAACAGAAAATCCATTCAAATTTTAACGAAAATGTTGTAAAAAAGTTAGTATTGATTTTTTTTTAAGATTTCATTAAAGGAATATGAGTTATCTATCGTAATTTTACTTCACATATAATATACCAATACATTATTACTAACGTTCCAGATATCTGCATAACATAAGTGTGTTTATATAATTACACTCAAACAAACCCAATCAAATACAAAACCAATCTTATTCAATGGTTAGTACAAAAAACAGCTAAACCATAAAAAGGTTCTGGCTTACTAAACGAAAATCCTCAATTAATTGGTCTCGCGAAGCCGATCGCTACTAAATTAAACATTTTCTCTTATTTAAAACCGAAATGAAGTTCATTTGAATTCGTGCCGCCAGTAATTACAGAGTTTACGACGTGCAAACGCTGCCAGGACGCCATTTTAGGAAAATGGCCGACGCCACTTGGGATTCGGTCAGACACCACTTGAAATTAAATGGCCAGTGTTGCAAACTGTATTATATTAATCAATGCATTAATTACACAAGTTTTTAAGGTTTTATTTGGTAATTAAAGTATCTATAATACCGTTTTGTATTTGTTACGGCTACAAAATTACCCAATGTATTTTTAGACATATTCACTACTTAGATTTTTTTACATTTTCTGGTGGATTAAAATTCATGAATGTTTAGATGCATGAATGTCGTGTAAAAAAAAACAATTTACATGAATTTAGCTAGTTTATAACTATATATATACCAATTTAGAAAACATTTTTAGGTATTTTTAGACACTTGTGAGCTAAGAGAAAACATCATATAATTTGTTTCTACGGATTGAGTACCTATGTCATACCAATTCATTTCTGCTGTTTAAATATTTAATTGTAGCAATTTAAATGCCGTTTCATCGTCGTCGTCATATTAAATAACACTCAACACTTTAATATATACCATGATCTCTAGGAATATCTATTTTAAGAACTATTAAATCACGTGCCATCCTGTAGAATTGTCAACTTGTATGCGTTCCAATTTCTTTAAAAAATAAATTCTTATCTTGTGATAGGACAGATTTCCGAATGAGTGATATACCAAAAAAAAATAGACTTTCGCATACACATGTGTGCCTAGTAAACACAAAATATGTATCCGTTACAGTGGCAACCCTGTTCTGCGCTGCGCTGTGTTGTCTACAGGATTCCAGAGCCGTAATAAAAGAAGTAATCGATTACAGCACACAACTGAGGTGATTGGAAAAATTTCCTCCTTCAACTTTTTAAATTGGATCCAACTCTAGCTCGGTTTGCCCCGAATGCCTTTTAGAGTAGATAATACGATTTAGTAGGTATCCGATATTAGATTGCATCTTTGAAGAACGTTTACGAGTTATAAAAGTTTCGAATTTTATGGAAGTACTTAGAAATAAAACGCCAATGTAAATTTCTGTTCTATTTCTTTTGGGAAATATTTATAGCTTAGCGAGATTCATATGCAAATGTTATTTATTAAAGAAAAAACAATTAAGTAGATATAGGAATATGTTTACCTCGAAAATAGGCAAATGTAGCTAAATTAGATTTATAAAAATAGGCAAGTTGCTAGCAACAGGTTTATTTGCTTAAAGATTTTTTTTATTAGGTATTAGTGGAAAAACTTATAAAATCGATTTACTAGTTCAAGAGATAATCCCTTACGTAAAAGATTAAAACCCCCTCCAATAAGTGAACCGGAGCGAGGTTGAGGTGGGTTGTTTAGTTGTTAATTTTTTTTATGAAACGTAGTAGTTTAAATTATAAGCAAGCGACGGCCCACTTGACGGTAAGTGGCCACCATCGTCTATGTATATGTGAATGGCACGGCTGTGTAGTTCGCTTATACGTTGTCATTCCAGAGTTCCATACTAAGATATCATGCCTCCATACCCTGAAATTTCACTACCAGACCCTTCAATTAAAACACACTTTGTGAGACAGAAATGTCCTCACAGACGACGTTGTCAAAGTCTACCTTGATCAAAAAATAATTAATATATTAGTACTATACCATTAGTATTAAAAAATAGGGGTTGATTGTAAAAGAGTGAAATATTTTTGTTTTATATATTAATGCCGAATCGTTAAAATATAAAGTAAAAAAATTATGTCTAAAAAAGAAAGATTGCGTGGTCAACCTTATTGCCTAGGGGAATAAGAAATCGATAACTTATTCTTAGACTTACCAAGTTTACATATAAAATTTGATCACAATCAGTCAAGCCGTTTCGGAGAACTATGACAACTAACTGTGAGAGAAGAATGTAAATATTGTTATATTAAACAACTCACCATGTTTTTCTGATGATCATCTTCCGTAGTCTCAATATCAACACTCTCATCGCTGTCGCGGTCGCTCTTGGCGGAGCGTGCGGGTGATGAGCGGTTCGACGAGCGATGTGGTGAGCGATGTGGCGAGCGATGTGGCGAGCGATGTGGTGAACGATGTGGTGAGCGGTTCGACGAGCGATGTGGTGAACGGTGTGGTGAGCGGTTCTGTTGCGGTGGTGTTCTTATCGGTGATCTTGATCTGGTTAATGTTCTGTGAAGTATAAAACATGTTAATACTGGCGAATTTTTAACTGGCAAGGTTATATTACAATAAATACTATTATAAACTAATTTCGCATCGCTAAGGTGCTAAATCATTATGAAATATTAAAAGACCTTTTTTGCAGACGTAATTTTTTTATACTTTTGAAACAAGTAAAATTTTGAAACAAGTATGTTTTCTATGTATTTGTATCAATATAGTTGTCTAGTACTCATAACACAAGCTTTAGTTAGCTTAACTTGGGTCTAGATGGCGCTATGTGATTTGTCCTGAGATTATTATTATTAAGTAGGTAATTTTAAAATAAATCTATATATATAAATAAAATTGTAGTGTCTGTTTGTAATATTGAAATAACCATTTTACTACATGCATATGAATATAAATACGGTACGTACACCAAAATAACATTTTTTACTATTTTTGTCTCTCTAATCTCTGAAATGGCTGGACCTATTTTGACGAGACATTTTTGGCAGGTAGCTTATGTAATAAGGAGTAACTTAGGCTACTTTTATTTTAGAAAATTGAAGTTAAATTCCACGTGGACGAAGTCGCGGGTACAGCTTGTTAGTTACATAGAATATTACTTGTATAAAAAGTATCATTAAATGAGTTTTTTACCATAAATTTTATTAATTTATTAAAGGTGATAAATTGTGATATCTATTTATCCTGGCCAAAGTAAAATGACCAATAGTGACGAGACGATAGTCTGTTAACATAGCACCTACACCAACCCTTGCGGTAATTATTCGAATTTAATAGTGATTTTTAGAATTTAATAGATAAATAAATATGTTAATTTATGGAAGTAGAACAAATATTGACCTGTTTGGCGAACGTGGCGGTGAGATGACTGGTGATAATTGTGGCGAATCGAGGTGATGCGCGCGGACTGGACGAAACGCGCGTGGCTCCTCTATGGCGCTTACGCCGCTCAGGGCCGTCAGCGCTCCTACATAATTACATTAAAATAATGTACACACGCAATATTATAGGTATCATAGTTGATAAGCAATATATTGATTGCAAAGAGGATCCAACTTCCGGGTCCGGATTAGCAAAATTCCACTTTGGTAACACAACACATAAAATCAATATTTCGGTCAGCTGATTTTGGAAAATATATAATTTCTTCTTGTTTGTTTCATACAAAACATCCCAAAATAACTGACCAATGTATTGATTGCAACAGGAACCATCTCCCAGATCAGGATTAGCAAAATTTAACTTAGGTCACACACATAGATACACAAAATATTTTTTTCAGTTAGCGGATGTTGAAAAAATTATAATTTTTCGTGTTTGTTTTGTACAAAAAATCCCAAAATAAATTAGCAATGTATCGATAGTAAAAAGAAATCATCCCATCTCCCAGGCTGTAAGATTAAATTAATTTGAAAAAGCTTTGACAGAGAAAGTTCCTCAGAATATGATATCAAAATTGTAATCTATAGAATACCATATATATTCTATAATATATATCTATATGTATGTAATCTATATGCTCTCGGATTAAAGTAATTTAAAAAGTCTACGACTGTAGTCAGAATATGATTTCATAATTGTAATCTATAGAATATATTAGTAACTAACCTGGCGTCCACAATGAAGGCTTCAGCCACGGTATGGCATATGGCAGGGGCAACCTGGCCCCCCACACGTAGTCGGCCAGCCGGGGCACGGGGGCGTGGGCGCTCGGCGGACTGGCTGGCGGGCGCTTGGCCTCACTCCCCGTTTCCGGCTCTGGCCTGCAAATCGGCACTCTTCTGTGGCGAAATTTTAGGCTGAAGTTTTTTAAACGATTTCTATTTAAATGTTCGGTAATTGTGAAGTTGATAGGAAAAGTAGGTATTCTATACATCTTAATCTATATATCTATATATATATAACTCAAAGGTGACTGACATTGTGATCTATCAACGCACAGCCCAAACCACTGGACGGATCGGGCTGAAATTTGGCATGCAGGTAGATGTTATGACGTAGGCATCCGCTAAGAAAGGATTTTGATTAATTCTACCCCCAAGGGGATAAAATAGGGGATGAAAATTTATATGAAACTTCATCAATTTTAAACCGATCGGGCTGAGACTTTGCTTGCATAAAGCTACTATGACGTAGCCATCCCCTAAGAAAGGATTTTGATAAATTCCACCCCTAAAGGGATAAATTAACGCGAGTGCAGCCGCGAGCAAAAGCTAGTAATATTATAAATGGATAAGTTTGTGAGTATGGATAGATGTTTGTTACTCTTACATGCAAAAAGCACAGCTAGCATAACAATTGAGCACTATGCAAATTGGTATAAGAAAAATATTACTAGTTTGATGACTTTCTTAAATTAATACGTAAATAATTGCAATAATATCCTATTAATTTGGTAAATTCGAAAGGGTTAGTGTTTCGGATTTTTGTTACTGTTTTGTACAAGCGGTTTTAAATTAAATTTCATATAGATACGTAAGTCCTATGCTAAATTGACACCTATTTTTTCTCTTTCTTTATATACATATATAGATACTTTTTGCACTTGTAACATTAAATAATTTAGTTACCTTTTAAGCGGGCATCTTAATATAAAAGACTATTTATAACACGCAATACTGTCTTTCTCTCATTAAAATTCTATATCATATAGATAAATTTTAGTTTCTTCGTATTGAATAAATAAATATTGTAATACAACATATTTTTTCTTCTAAATTATATTTGTTTATTTAATTAACTATATAATTTTACCACTGTCTAATGCACCTATCTCACTCTCACCTAGCAGCAGAGAGCATCCTCTTTCTCGTTCCACCATTAAACATTGCCTTCACATCTTCCCAAGCGTGAACAACTTCATCTGGAGGACTACCACTCAGCTTCATGTGACGTCTCCAGGAATTAAAGTTTGCAGCATCAGGCTGTATGTATTTATCTCCTGGACCAACGCGGTGGGAATGGAAGATGAACTTATTTGGAGAAAAGAAGAGACCGCAGTACGCGCACTTTATGCATTTGGCTCTTGAAGAATTGTACCTAAGGAAGAACAAGGAATCAACAATAATATATAATACAATATATACATATATTGAAAATAAACATTTATAACTTGTTGAATTATAAATGTTTATTTTCAAATTTTGGATATTTCAACATTAGATACCTATATAGTTAGGTGCACTAGCGTTACTTATTCTCTAATACTAAAAGTAACTACCTTAAGTAGAAATAGTTAGCAAGTTCAAGAAAGTCTTATATATAATTTAATTTTTTATACAAAGGCTTAATTTCTCGTATAACTCACTTTTATAGAAAAACGCTGTTTTCATTTCATAATCTTATTTCGCTTTTATGTAAGATTAAGTCTATGGCTATTAGAATAGTGAGATATTAGAAAAATTAAGAGTAGACTTTCTTCCTTACCTGGCCGGTAGGAAGGCACCGCGGCAGCCCCATGCACACTCATGGTGTACAGCGAACGCGAAGTCATCAGGCAATCTCGGAGGGGCGTTGTCTCCAAGAAACGACTTGCACAGACGCTCAGCTTCCCGCCTTGTTATCATACCTATCCGTAAACACAATACTACAATTCCATCGAGTTTTTAAATCAAGTATTAGTCACGCGATGGTAGAAATTCGACAATAATTGATTTAAATTGAGCTTATGTTTCACCTTCAGTAAGGTTATAGACAAATTTCAGACATAAGACAGACAGACAACCTTACTAATATTATAAAAGCGAAAGTTTGTGAGTAAGTATGGATGTTTATTCTTTCTCGCAAAAACTACTCAACGGATTTTGATGAAACTTTACTGCAATATAACTTTTACATCAGAATAACACTTAGGCTTTAAATTCAGTGCGCGTAAAACTGCGGGTACAGCTAGTATTAATCTTTTTTCAATTTGACATATGCTTGTGTGTGACAAATAGATGGTAGTGTATGCAATAATGTTTTTTTTTATTTAATGTATTTGTTATGCATAATTAAAAAAAACAATTTCATGCTCCTACGTAAAAACTTACGTAGGAGAGTAACTACGTAAAAACTTACGTAGGAGAAGAGAAAACTCTTTCTTGTACCTATCAGTATCATTATAGTGTGTATTCTTAGTTTATAACTACCGACTAATATTAGACTTTTAGAACAGACAAAATATTACTTCCTCAATTACATTATACAGTTAGCGAAATTAAAATTTACAGAGGCATCCAAATTTGATATATTTTTTTAATAATTAACAAGATTTATATATTGGCTCCAAAACTCATTATCTATAATTTTAAGAAGTATAATACTATAAATTACTAGCTATCGCGGCAAACGTTGTTTTGCCTTAAATTAAAAAAAAAAAATTGAGGTGTACCACCCCTAACATTTAGGGGCATGAAAAATAGATGTTGCCCGATTCTCAGACCTACTCAATACGCTCACAAAATTTCATGAGAATCGATCAAGCCGTTTCGGAGGAGTATGGGAACGAAAACTGTGACACGAGAATTTTATATATAAGAAGATTAATAACAATTGTACATTGCATTAGTAGTGCAACAATAAAACTAATAAAAGAACAGGATCTTCCATCCCTTTTCTCCATATTACTTCCACAGATTGCACTAAAATGAGACGAGGTCATCAATAAACAAATTAAAACGATTGTTTCTCTTACCACATCTCCTCGATGACACGGGCATTGCACCAGCTCGCCTCAATATCTCCAACTGTACTGGTGTACATTGGACGCAGGTGATTCCTAACGCCACTCTTCTGTTATGGATCTCGTTGTATGAGAACTGCTTTAGGAGGGTGTTGGATATCTGCGCTAGACACAGCCTCTCCACGCCTTCGATCACTAGGGAGACTATTGGAACACCGTACAATAGCACTGTGCCAACCTGTCGGAAAAATCTTCATTGTATATTATATTCAACTGCTTTAATTCAACGGTCGCGGATTCGATTCATGTGCCGTGCAAACATTTGTATTTATGAGTATGATTGTTTTTAAAAATGTATTAATGTTTAAAAAAAATGTAATTAAGTACTAGTAAGTAGTATTACATACTACTGTATCAGTTATTAGATAACTGATACTTCAATACATTTTACTTTATTAAATACTTGCATAAAAAAAAGAGAACACCCAGAGTCCAGACCGATACATCATCAATATACCCATAACACAAGCTCTGCTTAGTTTGGGACTAGATGGTGCTATCTAAATTGTTTTAGGATATTATTATTATTCCTAGTATGTAACAGCAATAGCCTTACCTCAGGTAAGGACAGAATCTTTACCTGATCTTACCAGAGGTTAACTGTAAAAAGCAGTCACCTCTGTAAAAATCTCAAATTTGTATATCGTGTGCGAGGAATCTACCCCGCCACCATGGGGGGGAAAGGGGATTGTTAGTTATGTGGACTTTATAACCCATTACTAGCAATGTACCATGTCAGGTTGACCTCCACGTTCCCCCTGGAAACCATCGTGATAAATTCTTGGTGAATTTATCATGATGGGCTAACTGACCTGACCTCATGTTCATCTTATCATCCTCCACTAGTGCCCCGCCAGCGTAAACCGTTAGCGCAAGCGGGTGCACTATTCCATTATCATCCTTAAAAAAAAACCCGCCACCATGGAAATTATGTTGTTCTATACCGCTAAACCACGAGGCCGTTAATTTTGGAAGATAATACTCACTTGATTGGGTTTGGCATTTAGCTGCAATCCTTTATGCTCGTTACGAGGCTTCATGGTGTCTCGTGGTGAGAGAGCCAAGTTGGTAGCCTCCATCCTGCAACAATATCATTACTGTAACCTTAACCCATATGAATTCTACCCACTGATGTTGTTCTTACATCCTTTCCTAATCACGGTATCCTTGTATTAATCACACAATTTATTCCACGTCAGATTGGCGGGATAATTTGAATTTGAAAATGGTTATCACTCAACCACTTCCAAATTCAAATTTTCCCGCCAACCGGTGTCAGTCATATAAACATGTGGACCCCAATTAAAGAAAATATGATTAATATGACTACCGTAAGTACCCAAGTTTGACACGTTCATATTCTGTGTGAAATATTAGAATATATATCGTCGATTAAATAGAAAAATGACATTTTTCTAAATTAGAAGCTATTATAGAATTGCCTCTTTTTATATAAGTGTAAGTATTAAATTAACCACGCTGTCTTAATCATTATTTAAATATTTTTAAATTGATATATAATACTTCTGTATAAATTTTTGTTAAAACTTTAAAGGGAAAAACAACGCTAGACCGCCCCATAAAATAATATTTTACGGGGTGGTCTAGCGTTACTGGTACTGTGGTACTGCGTACCTTACTATTACAAATATAATTTTTTCTTTAAATAACTAACATAAACGTGAAAATTATAGAAATAATAATGACATAGCCATAAAAGAACAAACACCAAACAAAAGAAAGTCATTATTGCAAAAAGCAACATTTACTTTTGCCGGGCAATAAAACTGCACGGCGAGAACAAGCGGTGAATAAATTGGAACAAAAGTGATCATTTTGTATACAAATAGGCAGTTTGCGTGTGAATTTAGTGTATCGAATATCAATTGGTACATCGGAGGGTGCGTTAATGTGCTGCGCCGCCCCTTCACGAGTTGGACGGATCGCATAGGTTATTTTGTAGACTTTATTTTAATATTTTTATAGGTAACTCATAAATAATTAAATAAGTAACTCATAATTAACTATTTGTTTAATTATTCATGAGTTATTAGTAATAAAAATTATACTAATTAATTAAGTAACAAATAATATGGTATAGGACTATTCATTCGGCGTTACCTATAGTCTCAAAGTAAGAAGAGTGTTATGGATAGAATAGTAATAGTACTGATAGAAATAAGTCATTTCGGCTAGATCTTTCAGTTCAGAACTGCCAAAAACCTCAATGGGTATTTTTTTACGTTATCACTATTTTTTCAATTATATTATGAATTGTACGGTTGTTAATCATAAGTTCATATATTTTTAATGTAAAACCAAAATATTACTCCAAATTACAATATAATATTTCTATGCCCTCATTAAATAGTTCGTTAGAAAAAATGGCAAATATTGTAGATTTTTTAAAATAAAATACATAAATTAGGAATTTCCTATTTAAATAGATATTATCTATCTATATCTAACAACAGTATACCCAGGATGGGTAGAGTATTGTTTATTGTCATGATAAATATTTTCTAAAGTCAATTCACTTTTCAAATCATTTATAACAAAACAATTCTCCATCAAAATGATGAATCGCTTATTCAAACAGAGCTAGCGGGTCCAATGTTGAAAATCAACATAGGGTTGCCTCTTCACCCCGGCGTACCGTATCATTATGGGGTGTGATTAGTCAATTTATGTCACCCCTGCACACTGCGGGCTGGAGCCAAATAATTGATTAAGTCAAACGACATTACATTACTGTAATGATTGCATATGTTGCTTTTTTCACGGACACATTTTTTTTCGTATTCTGTGGTGATTTTCGTGGGAGTGATTTTATTTATTAGTTAGTTAATTCATTTTGTTATCGGGCTGGAAATTGTATTAATATTATAAACACGAAAGTTTGTGAGTTTGGATGGATAGATGGATGTTTGTTACTCTATCACGAAAAAACTACTGAACGGATTTTAAGGAAAATTTAGAGTAATATAGCTTATACATCAGAATAACACATACATTATAATTTAAAAAGATATTATGTGAATTGGGCGAAATATAATGACAGTTATCAATGTTTGACATTTATCAATAAGTTTATTGTTAAAATATCGAGCTACAGAAAGTTTAAATTTTAGACTGTGCAAAAACTAGCCGGCGGGTCAATTCAATTTCGCCAATTTCAGCCGCCAAGCCGCTTCCTTTGTAAGTGTTTCGATTATGGGTGAGATAAGGTAGTGAAATTTCAGGATATGGAGACATGTCATCTAAGTTTCTCGAGTGGTAACTCGTGAGTGTTTTCTTATATAGCATAGGTACAAACGATCTTGCAGCTCTCCTGATGGTAAGTGATTACCACCGCCCATGAGCAGACCAGGAGAATTATATTTGTAGTTGTATTAATTTTAAAATCAATTAAATTAAAAAAGTTTGGTTTTTATTTACTCATTCGCTCTGTGGTTAAGACAAAATGCTATGAAATTAATATATATATATATGCAATTACGCCGACCCCAAATAAATGGTATAAAGAAGAAGCAGATGATGATGATGATGATGATGCAATATACGAGGTGAATATTTAAATTACTTCTATGTATATACATAGAAGTAATTTAAATATTCACCTCGAAGTCGCCTGTTAACAATGCCTATCACTAGCCCATTTATGATAACAGCCATTAAAAATATAATTATAATAATTAAAAAACTTAAATAATTACTAAATTTCACGGTTCAACTGTCGACAACTAACTGTCTGTATCATTTAATAACCAGAACTTGTAATTATGAATCTGCTATGATAGCCATATGGTGCAGATATGATAGAAGCGTGGGGACGAGCCCCGCGGGATGCTGCACATGTGGACCACTTGTATCGGAACTAATCGGGATTGAATCAAAATATATTAACCAGTTATCACAGATTTATATTTTTAAGAAAGCCAGCCAGTTCATTTATAACATACTTTTCAAGGAATCGTTATACTGCATCAATTAACCTATTTATAGAGAGGTAAGGGGTTTGTTTGTTGTTGTTTGTTTGTTTTTTGTGGGGTAATATGGAATAATAGCCCTATAGTAATATACCATGTCAGGTTGACCTCTACGCCGTTCACCCTGGAAATCATCGTGGTTAATTGCCACTTGCCTAGATAGGGTAACAGATCTGACCTCATGTTATCATGGTTCGCTAGTGCCTCGCCAGGGCAGATGGGTGCACCGGTCCATTATCATCTAGTACAATATGTATATGCGTATTAGGTAGGTACTCATATATATATATTATGTAGAGGCTGTACAGGATTCCACCTGGGACCTCCATCTTATATAGGTTCATCATCTTACAATTTTCCTCTACAATTGGATACAAATAATAGAATAGAATCATAAATCACTCACATCATACATCAATAGACGCAAAAATAGTCGGTAAATAAATACTTAATTGGTATAAATTGCGTAATATACATAAAGTACATGTAAATTCCTCCTTATTTCATGTTGGTTTACAATGAACTTGCCCCTTAAACAGCGACAGGTCACAGTTAACAAACTGGGCCCATAACGCAACGTAACCGCAACCGATTGTATTGACAACATGTTGTACATTTCTGCGGATAATCCGTAACTAAAGGGGACACTCGACGCTCTTGTGTCAAGCGCCCCGGATAGGGGACGCCGAGTAGGGCGACCATGATTTACTTACACTTTAACTTCTTCAAACTGAGTTTATAATAACTTAAATATATTGTTTTTTATGTTACTCGATTATTATGATAATCGAACCCCACATGACCCAGGAAGAGCACCACGTTACGTCTTCAAGTAAAGGTTTACCACACGGACTTACTTCCAATTGTCGCGGATTCCAGCACAGTGTATTCTTTTTAAAATTATACATATACTGTTTTAATACTAGCAACAGACGAAGTTGTGTGAAGGTAGACGAATATGTGTGCACATAAAAGCTTTTATTTGCCATCTACCTGTGTTAGTCTTCAGTTTATCCGTGATCGTGGCGGTTAAAACACTGCCAAAATATCGGGAACTCAATAAAAATAAATAAAACGTGGTAGACTACCGTGATTTCTTCCTAGTCTTTACTAATATTATAAACAGGAAAAGTTTGTAAGTATTCAAGAGTATGATTAAATTGGTCTGGGTATTAATGGACGTACGTTTTATGTGCGTCTGTGTATATTATAAACTAATTTATAATTAGTTCCTATAGCGACAGTTGTTGTATATTTCATTTATAGTAGAAACATTTACGATATTTACTAGCCTAAAGGAGACGGACTTTAATTAAAGTAACAAGTATATGTATTCACAAAAAATATATGTTCTAGTGTTCATAACACAAGCTTTAGCTTGGGACTGCTGCTTAGATGGCAGTGTGTGGATTGTCGTTGATTATTATTATTATTTTAGTATAAATATATGATGGTCTTATTTACTGAAAATAGAGACTTACCGTACACTCCTACATTATATTATGAATTGTCGAAATATGTGTTGCAAAATTCACGGAATAGTAACTGCTCTTGATTAATCAATATTTTTTTTTTTATATTTTTATAAAAAATATTATTTGCACATTTTAACCCACTCAACACTTCCTATGCCACGCTCTATTGGGTTGACTGGAAGAGATCTCTTTTAGAGATAAGTCCTCCTTTGTTAACATTAGCTGTAATTAATATACTTACAAATGTATTTAAGTGCAATAAAGAATATTTATAAATTTACCAAATATAACAATCAACAACACTCAAAAGAAATTAACAACATTAGAAGAAAATAAAAGAAATATCCTCCGATATACGAATATTATGGTCACCCTAACAAAATCCGATCGGTTGAATCGTTTCTTATAGAAAGTGCTCCGTTGAGATCTAGTACGCGCTTTGTATAGCGAAATACTATTTAATCTTTATAAGATACCATTTGGCTATCTAACTGCTATTGTTACGGTCCAATGTTGTTAGAATTTGTTGCGAACAAGGGGAAGTATTTAAGGGTCTTATGAGCACAAGTAGAGATTTAAAAATTGTTAGGGGGTGACAGATGGGTAGGTGGATAAG